TTATACGGTGATTCATGGTGATTTTTTTTATTGAATGGTGGGATCAAGTGAACTACATTTCGTGTTTTTGTTTTCATACGCGTTTGAAAACTTTGCACCTATAATAGTTTTTTTTCGATTTTATTTTTTATAAANAAATAACGGTAATCTTCATCATTGTACAAATTAAGGGTAGTTATCGACTAAGGGGGTAAGGAATCGGTCGTTTACAATATGCAGCGAAAGCTCATCGGGAGGGCTTTGCTTTCTCTTTCTCTGGTCCCGAGTGGACCACTCGATCAATTTTGAATCTTCTCATCCATCTAGTCGTAAGTGTGTCTAATGGATCGCGCGGGATATACGCTACCCTAGTTTTAGTTAAATATAATTTGTTAGATGTATATATATTTATATTTTTAATTTTTTAATTAATCAGAGTTATCAATTAAATAGTACCGTTATCCGTCGAATAATCTCGGCGTATTACGTCTGTTTGTTTTTAATTATTTGTATATGTATCTATGTATAATTTTTCATTTACTTTTTCACTCGATTTCACTTGTCATCAACGTAACAATCAATTCCCATATCGAACTCCACATGACGTACGCGAAAAGTTCATAAAAACGTTTTGTCATTACACAATCTGGAAAAATGAATCCTTCCTTTAATTTACATCTAAAAGTCTAGTACATGGTGTTACTTATAAATATTATTCGTTCATTTTCATAAAAATGGCCGTTTTTCTGTCACGTTCTCAGTTAGTTTGACTTTTTTTTTCATTCCATTTTATTAATTTTTTTTTTTTTTTTTAGTACTCGTGCTTTTTGACACGTGGTATTTTTACTTTTTTTTCTTTGAATCTCACAACTCAACTCTCACATACGATTATCTCACAGTTGTATATGAATATATTTATATGTATGCTGTGTTTTTTAAACGTTCCTTCATATACACATATAATATATTATACAATACGGAATCCAACCAGGCTTAGTCCACCTTTGCTCGTGATTGTAAAAAATGTCGTCACCGATTTCTCCATCCTCACGTCTTCCAAACATCGTTGATTTTAATTGTTTGTTAATTTTTTTGATGGTAGTAATAATATAACAATTACAATACCTAATGCGTATGTCGTTGATTTTTCAGTGGTTTTATTTGAAGTTTATTTAACATTGTTCTTTCGTTTGCGTTGGCCCATGGACCTTCTAGGTATACCCTATTCACGCGATACATTACACACAGTGTTAATTACACATGACCTTCACTATGACTTGATCGTCAATTGATTTATGTAGCATGTTATTATTGTTATTATTACTATTTTTTTTTTCACTACCATCCCATCTGGCCTGTCGCTCATTTCTTTGCACGTGCGTCCGAAAATTTGTACAAACATATTATATTATATTCAACGCAACAATAATCTTAACACGCTTGATCTAGACAACAGTCAGAGGGTTATTTTATTTAACACGAGACACGTATTTCTCTAGTCATTTATTGATAATTTTTTGCAAACGTGAATTTACTCAAAAGCTTAACAACAGTAAAGACGATTAATGATAAAATCATCCATGCAACGCCAAAATAATTTTTAATATAATCAAAATGATACAAACGAAACACAATTTAACACAATTTATGATATTATTCATTATTCAAATGAGTGGAGAAGTACCTGTTCGTCTCGTTCATTTCATGCACGCATCAACTCTAGAATGACTTTATTAATAGTCGACAAGTACCAAGACTTGCCGATCTCACTCTTTCGCTCCTACATATAATTGTAATAAAATATAATGCTGTTAATTAAAGTAATAATTATTACGATGTACTGATAAAATTATGAACTAAGATAAACAATTGACAAATATTGCGAAAAAGAGATGAACAAAACAAAAAAAAACGAAATTACATGGAAGTCTCTCTTTCGCGTAACGAAGTATATAATCATCACAGCACGACGTTAGCGCGCACATTGTCCTTCGAGTGTTCGCTGTTCGTCGGATACGAGAGCAATAAAATAAATGACAATAATAAACGAAAACGAAAAATAACATAAAAAAATCAACGTGTTCGCGTGTGCCCAATGACGCCGATCGGTAAACTTTTGAAGACACTGTCAGCCCCCCCTTTTTTTTTAATCCTCTCGCCTGCACGTACAAAAATCAAAGAATTACAACAGAATTGCGCACAAATCGATACACATGTACATGAAATTGATAATGATTGACAATTAAAAAATAAAAATGTTAGGACAAAGATTCCTTATAAGCGCTAACACGAGATAAAAATATCAGTAAACGACGAGGGACGGTGGGGGGTCGGGGTAAAAACGAAAATAATATACAAACGGATGAACATCACAAGACAAACAAAGAAACGGACAAACGCAGAGCGAGCGATTTTTTCACTTTTCCCCGCGACAACAGGGGACAAAGCCATCTTTGTCTCGGCCACACACGCTTGTATATACCAAGTCCCCGTAGGACCGAGGGGATGAACGACGAATCGAAGACCTGATTAATTTTGCTCTCTCGGCCGTGATGTGCACGAGCCCTCGAATTTAAAAGGCTTGGAAGAGGTGTGCAGTGATGGAGAGAAAAGAAGAAGACGGAAGGTTATATATATACCGCAGTGAGAAGAATCGGGCGCGCGGCTCGTCGATCCTATTGTCCGGGACTCGTTGTACTTACACGTGTATGCAAAGGACACACGTCACTTCAACACGTATGTGTGTGGCGCCTCTACGTATGTAGTATAATTCACATAGTATTCACATAACAAGAGTTCGGCTGTCGTTCAACAGTGCAGATATACATATAGCGGCGAGCCTCGCTCGGCATCTCTATATATATGCTCCTCACATGCACGTGGTGTGGTAGGTAGTTACAGAGATGTATATATATACCATTTTATTAATTTTTTTTTTTTTTTTCTTTGAATCTCACAACTCAACTCTCACATACGATTATCTCACAGTTGTATATGAATATATTTATATGTATGCTGTGTTTTTTAAACGTTCCTTCATATACACATATAATATATTATACAATACGGAATCCAACCAGGCTTAGTCCACCTTTGCTCGTGATTGTAAAAAATGTCGTCACCGATTTCTCCATCCTCACGTCTTCCAAACATCGTTGATTTTAATTGTTTGTTAATTTTTTTGATGGTAGTAATAATATAACAATTACAATACCTAATGCGTATGTCGTTGATTTTTCAGTGGTTTTATTTGAAGTTTATTTAACATTGTTCTTTCGTTTGCGTTGGCCCATGGACCTTCTAGGTATACCCTATTCACGCGATACATTACACACAGTGTTAATTACACATGACCTTCACTATGACTTGATCGTCAATTGATTTATGTAGCATGTTATTATTGTTATTATTACTATTTTTTTTTTCACTACCATCCCATCTGGCCTGTCGCTCATTTCTTTGCACGTGCGTCCGAAAATTTGTACAAACATATTATATTATATTCAACGCAACAATAATCTTAACACGCTTGATCTAGACAACAGTCAGAGGGTTATTTTATTTAACACGAGACACGTATTTCTCTAGTCATTTATTGATAATTTTTTGCAAACGTGAATTTACTCAAAAGCTTAACAACAGTAAAGACGATTAATGATAAAATCATCCATGCAACGCCAAAATAATTTTTAATATAATCAAAATGATACAAACGAAACACAATTTAACACAATTTATGATATTATTCATTATTCAAATGAGTGGAGAAGTACCTGTTCGTCTCGTTCATTTCATGCACGCATCAACTCTAGAATGACTTTATTAATAGTCGACAAGTACCAAGACTTGCCGATCTCACTCTTTCGCTCCTACATATAATTGTAATAAAATATAATGCTGTTAATTAAAGTAATAATTATTACGATGTACTGATAAAATTATGAACTAAGATAAACAATTGACAAATATTGCGAAAAAGAGATGAACAAAACAAAAAAAAACGAAATTACATGGAAGTCTCTCTTTCGCGTAACGAAGTATATAATCATCACAGCACGACGTTAGCGCGCACATTGTCCTTCGAGTGTTCGCTGTTCGTCGGATACGAGAGCAATAAAATAAATGACAATAATAAACGAAAACGAAAAATAACATAAAAAAATCAACGTGTTCGCGTGTGCCCAATGACGCCGATCGGTAAACTTTTGAAGACACTGTCAGCCCCCCCTTTTTTTTTAATCCTCTCGCCTGCACGTACAAAAATCAAAGAATTACAACAGAATTGCGCACAAATCGATACACATGTACATGAAATTGATAATGATTGACAATTAAAAAATAAAAATGTTAGGACAAAGATTCCTTATAAGCGCTAACACGAGATAAAAATATCAGTAAACGACGAGGGACGGTGGGGGGTCGGGGTAAAAACGAAAATAATATACAAACGGATGAACATCACAAGACAAACAAAGAAACGGACAAACGCAGAGCGAGCGATTTTTTCACTTTTCCCCGCGACAACAGGGGACAAAGCCATCTTTGTCTCGGCCACACACGCTTGTATATACCAAGTCCCCGTAGGACCGAGGGGATGAACGACGAATCGAAGACCTGATTAATTTTGCTCTCTCGGCCGTGATGTGCACGAGCCCTCGAATTTAAAAGGCTTGGAAGAGGTGTGCAGTGATGGAGAGAAAAGAAGAAGACGGAAGGTTATATATATACCGCAGTGAGAAGAATCGGGCGCGCGGCTCGTCGATCCTATTGTCCGGGACTCGTTGTACTTACACGTGTATGCAAAGGACACACGTCACTTCAACACGTATGTGTGTGGCGCCTCTACGTATGTAGTATAATTCACATAGTATTCACATAACAAGAGTTCGGCTGTCGTTCAACAGTGCAGATATACATATAGCGGCGAGCCTCGCTCGGCATCTCTATATATATGCTCCTCACATGCACGTGGTGTGGTAGGTAGTTACAGAGATGTATATATATATATGTATATACTTATTTGTCAATTCAAGAATCTTGGTAATGTCAGTAGTAGTTTGGGGGGGTAATGGAGAGGGGGGGCCAGGTTAGTTAAGGTGCAGACACGGTACTGGTGACGGCCATCAGGGGTGCCGGGGGCAGCGCCACTGGTATGTGGTAATATTTACACTGGGGCCTCACGCACGTACCCTTTACAGCATCTCTGCACACGGTTACGCGGTTCTCGATCACCTCCACGTTGCCTGCAAAACCATACAAAAACATCATCATCATCATCATCATCATCATCATCATTGTCGTATGAGTGACCAGCGAGCGAGATACGCACCATCATGGAGATGAATGAATTTGCAGGCGGGACGATTGCAGAGTTGCCGATTAAAATCTTGGCACACCGGGAGGGTGTCCAGTAACTGTAATGAAAAAAATAAGAAGGGCCGAAAAAACGGGCCCGAGTCAGGTTAGACTGTATTTGCGTGTGGTTCATAAGGATATAATAGAAAAGAAGAAAGAAAAAAAAAAAAAAAAAATTTATAGAGACACAGGTGGGTGTAGCAGTCGTTCCTTTTCTTCATTCACGCGCACTTGTCTTTCGCTCCATCCTTTTGCTCGTAGTTTCAAGAAAGAAAAAAAAAAAAAAAAAAAAAAAAAATTTATAGAGACACAGGTGGGTGTAGCAGTCGTTCCTTTTCTTCATTCACGCGCACTTGTCTTTCGCTCCATCCTTTTGCTCGTAGTTTCAAGAAAAAAAAAAAAAAAAAAAAAAATAACGGTAATCTTCATCATTGTACAAATTAAGGGTAGTTATCGACTAAGGGGGTAAGGAATCGGTCGTTTACAATATGCAGCGAAAGCTCATCGGGAGGGCTTTGCTTTCTCTTTCTCTGGTCCCGAGTGGACCACTCGATCAATTTTGAATCTTCTCATCCATCTAGTCGTAAGTGTGTCTAATGGATCGCGCGGGATATACGCTACTGGGAATCAAATCATTAGCCACTCGGAGGAAAGCCTGACTCCGATATGAGCGTTCGCTGGTAATGACTTATTTGTTATAATTATTGAGGTAACGAAAATTTGCAGTAGAACTCTTATGTTTTTCTTTTTTTCTTTTTTCTTTTTTTTTTTATACATTAATTTCTTTTTGTTTTTTTTTTTTCTAGATCCTTGAAATATTCATTTTTTGTACAACGAAAGTGCAGCGTTCGAGTTTCTTTTTTTCTTTCATTTTTTCTCCTGATGAACTTGACAGATTGCTTATTGGACATGATATATGCCCGTGTACATAAATTGCGATTGAAAAAATGCAACGCCGACACCAACGACTGATGAAGCGCAAAATAAAAGTGCCACGATTGTTCCAAGTTGACAGTGCTTGTGACCGAAATTCTGACGTAGACGATAATCTCTTCGACGATGTCCTAATTTATAATTGGAATCGATAATATAATATGTACAAAAAAACATCGAATTTTAAAAAATAGGCAATAGACGACTTTATTATTATTTCTCACGTTATTCTCAAACAATCCACGTCTCGGTATCGATCGGCAATGTAACCAACGGGCGATGTCATAAAAAAATATTGCGCACCGATAAAAAATAAACAAGCAAAAGAAAACCGGCACTCAAAACAATAGAAAGTCGCACGACACGTTCGATAACTCGAGCATCTCGGTATTCCGGTCATTATCCACCTCTCGAATCCGGGCAGCAGCAGCAGCAGCAGCCACAACAAATAGAAAAAAAAAAAAAAAGAAGAAAGTAACAAACTACTGCGACTACAGGCTCTTGTTTCCCCTTGAAAAGCCGCGAAGAGGAAAGAGAGTTCACGTGTGAGAGAAGTAGAAAAAAAAGCCGTGTGCTTGCAAGCTCTCTCGCGCAGCTAACAAAGCTCTACAGCCCATCATGTAGTCACACGACACGTACATATTATCCTCCGAACGGGTGTACTCGTTGTACCGCGCAGGCATACGCATAAAGGACGAGTCGCGCAATTTTCTCGGAACGAGAGCGAGAGGGAAGGGCGCGAAATGCTTGAGTGATGCTCATTGTGCGGGCACAATGTCTCGCGGTGCGCCAAACGAGCGCGTAGAAATAAAACAAGGGGTTCATTGTCTCGCGCGCGATGGTTCGTGAATTCTACGATTCGACGGGGGGAATGAGAAAAGGTGCGTTTTGCGTACGAGGAAAAATTAAAAGGGGAGAGTATCCGTAACAGTAGCTCCGTATATATACCCTCGTCAATAGCTGAAGGAGAAAATAATTGCGAGCAAAGTTTTCGTTCATGACAAATAATCCTACTGATTTTTTTTTCTTTTTTCTTTGAATTCTTGTTGAAATATATTTCGCTCTGTACACACAAGCGTGTACGTGTGGTAGGGGATAATCTCTGCCTTACATCCCCGTATATTTCGCTCTGGTTGCGTTTTCCTCATATTTGTCCATCGAGTGGATTTTTCTTTTTTTACTCCCTTCTTTTGTACGTGTATTCTTCTGCTATGTCTTGTAGGAAAGCGCACGCGGCGTTAGTATAGTTAGATTGTGTTCTTTTGTCCTGTGTTCTGTTTGTGTGCTAAATTTGCTTTTACTTTTTTTCTCTTTTATCTGTCGTGCAGATGTATGTACGTGCTCTCGTATAAAAGGACTCGACGAAATGGATCTGGTAATCGGATTTAACTTTATATTTTAATCGAACGTAATGGACACTTTATCTAGAAACGAAGGTACCTGGATTCATTCCGTCTTTGTAACTAAACAAAATTAAAAAAAAAAGTCAGATTTCAATACAAAAGCACGCCTCAATAAAGCTTTCCTCCGTATTTTACAATAAATCGTAGCTTTAGCAATGATCTACCAACAATTTATATCTTTACACTCGCGCGATGTAGTGAAAAGCATGTAATAAAACAACAATAGAGAAAAGAAAAAAACCTTTGTATGCTACGCATTGTATTTTGTGAGAGTATACTGAATATTTTTACGTATAAGCAAAAAAACTTTTACAACACGTGCAAATAATTGCTCAATCGTCCAAAAAATTTAATAGGCATAGTATGGTAATAATAACAAAATGTGCGTGCGAGACGTTTCTGCTTTGAGTAATGAAGATGTATAAGCTCTCTACTTGTACATAATAACAATAATCATAGTACATGACGATTCCTGTTCGGGACACGACAATTAATACAGATCATGACAGATCGAATGTTCAAAAATGTGTAAGACGTACTAAAAAAATGTTTTACCTTTTTTTCACATATACATGCACAGGATTGTATTGAACTAGTCAAAGTATCACATGTGACGGATAATGTATATCGAGTAACTATATGTATTTCTCTATAAACAATTAGACATGCATCATTGATCTAAAAACAGTATTAGCTGATAAAGTTGTCATGTTGATTTTTTAAAATGTGGTAAAACACGTAAATAATGATACTAATATCTGAAATTGTTAACTAAAATGAGAAAGATGTATTTTACACATAATTAAAAGAAATTCACTTACAACTTCCACGATTCTGCTTTTCTGTTGCCTTTAATTCTGAGTACAAAAAGATTTTTTCACAAAAAACAAAATATTTTATGAAAGGTAAACTTTTAAACCCTGTTTATTTTTTAGTAAATAAGAAAGTAAATTATCAACGAGTCCCGAAGGGTAAAACGTCTCGCAACGACGCGTACATAACAAATGTACGCCCCTGCGCACATAAACAAATACAACACGAACACATTTTTCTAGTTGTGATAAGAACATGATGAAAAATTTTAATTCAACACTAAAAAATCTTATTTTGATGTAAAAATCTGCAAATACACGCGTGAAAGATAGAAAAAAAAAATTTTTTGTTTGTACGCTCAAACTTGCATCGTATGATTACTATGTTAGGCGTAGGTGTTAAGAGTTATTACGTGAACTACCGATCAGATCGCAAAATAACAATAACAGGAACAAAATATACATATATACTTATGAGCAAACGCGTAAAAGTAATTAGATATTATATGTTTGTACCATAAGTTCACCAGAGATAAATAAAAGCGTGCAATTGTTTTAAATAGTTGTAAATAGTGATTGTGAGGCGAATCAAAATTTTTTTTTTTTCTTAAATTTAATATTAATATTACAAAAGGAGGCTTTGAAGAGTTTTTTACGCTCGCAACGATTTACGTACTACAGTAGCATTCCTTTTGCCGAAAATCCTTCTCACAGACCCAAAACAAACACACGATAAATCTCTGTGTTTTCGGTTGCGTTGTTTTTTGCTGCTAAAAAACAAATGAAAAAAAATAAATAAATAAAAAGATGGCAAAATCAAGGAAATGTAAAATTTTTTAAATTCATAAGCAAAATATATTGCGCGTTTTATTGTTTTAACAACAACAATGATAAATAATACAGAGCAGTAAATAAACTGTGACATTTTTCTTGCTAATACAGATACTATACACATATATATAATTTTCTACAAACACAGAGTCTTATCATGCAAATAGTAATGATAATTGTTATAATGGCCTGGGAGAGGTTTTTCTGCAGTGAACAAAGAAGAAAAAAGAAAAGAAAAATAATCATTTATTAGTGCTTGGGTGACGTATATCATCAATTTACACGGAAGCCTGGTATCCAACGAGTTAAAGATCAACGGGCTACTGCCAATTAAAAAATTAACCAAATTCATAGACCATCAGACGCAAAATGCAACAAAGCGATAGACGTATATTTGTGATCGCAGCTGTGCAGCAGAGCTCCCCTAAGAATTAACTTTTTTTTTTTTCGTTCTCACGTACAAAAATCTTGAATTCTCGCGGCAGTTGACGGTCATAATATTTTTTTTTTTTTGGTTTTGCGAAAGGGTTGGAGCTTAAGATCGCAGGTAAGCAAGTAAAAGATGAGCAACAGTCTACAAGAGCACATGAAATTCAGATCCAGAGAAACGGTGCAAAAAAAAAAGAAAAACAAAAAAAAAATAGTAATAAATAAGCAGCGGCGCAAACGACGAGCGTGCAAGGTCGTGTCGCAATATTCGTAATCATCATCATCTTCAACATCATCGTGGAAAGTAATTTGCGCTCAACATAGTAATACAAAGCCGATTTTTTTTGTGCATTCGCAGGGGAGAAGAGGGGACAGTGACGATAACAATTACTACAGTCATTCGTCAGATTACCGTCTACTTATTGTTTATTTTTTTTTTTCTTCGAAAGAGAAATTTTTTTCAGCCGAATTTCAATCACCCAAGCATTTCGATACTCGCCGAGGGTCAACTTACTTATCCGCGCTTGATCGATTCGCTCGAGCGGTTTTTTCACGCGCATTTTTTGTTCCAATAGATGCAAGAGAAAGTGTAGAGGAAGAATAAAGTAATGCACACACATTCATTCTATACTACTGCATAAAGCTAAGAAT